GCAAAGGTATTGTGCCAAATTGGATTGCCGAGGTCGTAGCCGTAGGCAAAGTGTTGTTCACTCCAACATGAGGAGTCCCGCCACCAATAGTCCCATCGACGAGATGAATGCCAGTCGAGGTCTCCACAGGGTTAACAACAGTCCCAACAATGTTGCTTCCATTGTTTACATCGTCATTTCCATGTGATGCCATTTAACCTTAAAGAACAAGCAACAAATAATTTAGAATAGTTATAAAATCGAGATCTAAGTTATCTGTTCGAAAAATAAAATTCTTGAACAGATTATTTTGTCAAATTATAACAAACTTATCAATCATTTAAAATTGTATTAGAAATCATTTAACCAATGATTAAAATAATCATTTAACCAATGATTAAAATAATCATTAAAAGGGGTAAACAATTATATTATAATGGTGAGACAATCATAATCAAACAATCATAAGCATTCATCACTAATAATTGTAAAACAATTAAATAATCATTGTCAATCATTTGAAAATCATGTTTGTAGATAAAAACACGCAAAACCATGCAAAAAACCACCAAAAGCAAACCAAAATTCGCAGGCAGTAAAGGAAACTGATTTTTTTTCTTTCGACCTTACTGATTCAATCTAATAAATTCACGGCACGTAATTAAATAAATAGATTATGTAAACAGCAAACAAATTGAGAAGAAAAACTGACAGTAAAGAAATTGGGAGAAAACCGTAAACAAATTGGAAGAAAAACGGATTCTCAAAATCCCGAAATGAAGTTCGATTTAAGCTTGTTGGGGAAAATTAAAGAATCAAAGTAAATTATAACCAAACCGAAGGCCCGTGTTTATACCGTTTCCTTAAATCGAAATCGCCGCCTCACCGGGGTGCATGATATTTTTGATCGGTGTTCGATTCCTANAGTAAATCAAACCAAACCGAAGGCCCGTGTTTACACGGTTTCCTTAAATCGAATTCGCCGCCTCACCGGGGTGCACGAGATGTTGATTCGGTGTTCGATTCCCAGGATACAATCGGTTGTCGGTTCACGTTGCACTACGTTAATCATCTAAGAACTAGCTGTGATTTCTCTATCTCTCAAAGAATTCAAAAAAAGGAAATTTACACCGGGAAAAAAAAAAAAAACTTGTTGATGCTGGAAGAAAAGATGGTATCTTTTTTCTTGTGTTTCCAACCAACGAGATCACTCGTATTTATACCCATGGAGGAGGAGCTAACTCTTTAATGCATTGAATAAGAAGTTACATCATTAAAGAGATGAAAAGAATAAGAAGTTACATCATTAAAGAGATGAAAATTGATGAACTTCAAACGGATGAACTGATGACAAACGGGTGACTTGTATTTTCATGAACTGATGACAAACGGCTGATTTGTATTTTCATTCAATATTTCCAACAATTCCTTGGTCCATTGCTCTTCTAAATGATTGGGACTCTTCAACACTTTTTGNTCATTCAATATTTCCAACAATTCCTTGGTCCATTGCTCTTCTATTGGATTGGGACTCTTCAACACTTTTTGCATATGCCTGAAATCCCATTCAATACTTTAAATTCACTCTAAGAGTCTCAAAGATTCATGATAAAGAATTTCATATTGACAAGGTCACAACTCCTGCCTTTCGCATGCTGAGAGGGAAAAGTAAGCAAAAATTCTTTAAAATTGGGAAAATGAACTTCATGAAGCCATTCATGGTTGAGAGTCATTTCAGCAGTAATCCATTGCACCGTTCTGCTGATGAGAATATGTTTTCTTGGCGATGAAAACCTCATAATCCACATCCAGCAAGGATAAAGGGAAAAGATAATGCAGTTTATTATGAGAATAAGTTGTCTAGTTGTTCTATTTCACAGAATTTCAAATACGTAGCCATTGCGAAAGAAAGATGCATGAAGGTCAAATGGGAACTCGTACAGATTAAGTTCACATACATGACCAACACTTTGGTTCGAGAAACAGAATTTTGGTTTCGAGGGCAATTTCTAATGTGAGGTATGATTGACCAACCATTTCAAGACAGGCTGGCAAGCGACCTAAATTAAACATCGTGAACAAATAGCGGGTAACTCTTTGCAAGTAGACTTAGAGCCCTCAGTTGACACAGTAATATGATAGCTTCTTCGAGTATGTTATAGGTAGAAACTATTTTGATGTAAAATTCAAGTTGCAGTTGTATAAGAATGGAAGACAAAGACCTTATGCGTTATATTGGTCATGCTCCATTGTTGAGTTAAGTATTAACAGTGACAATCACGAAGGATGGTGTTTATTTGAAAAATAAATTTCATAAAAGAGCAATAAATTCGTGTTTAAGACAAATCAAGTCTCTTTAGGCATCATCAATAGTATAAATCAGATAGATATCATTTCTTTTGCCCAATATACAGCCTGGATCCTTCCTGCTTGTTCAAATGCTTGGTTAAAATTTTACAGTACAGATCAACCACGTGATCAAGAGGAAATCTGAGTTGCAAATGAAACCATAATTGGTAATAAATGCCAAATTTAAACACTGAATGTACCATAAATAATTGAATCAGCTAGAAAACTGAAACCAAACATATTTCAAGGTGATAATAAAAAATTTGATTATTTGTTTTCTGTTAAATGATATTTGTTGCTTCATTATAATTATCTTTAATTTCATCTTTTGACAATGGAAAACTTGGTTAAAGTAGAGACTCAAAATCTATTTCACCAATCCAAGACTCGTTAAATCGAATAAATTCAAGTATTTATCATATCACACTGCATTTTGCTTTTTCGATTAGTTACTATCTTTTGGATTAATTTTGTTCACATTTTAATATGTCATACTCCATCAATTTAAATTGAAGTTCAGACTTCTGTTGTGTGCTTTCATGGCTGATCGTTCATTTCGCATTTAGGAATCGACGACTCTGTTACTTAAATACTTCTCCTCTCAACGCTCTTATCTATTGTGTGCAGGACACTATACATTACTTCTTGTTTTATATATCATCTGCAAGCACCGATTACAGCATTTAGTGACAGCTGCAAAAGCTACTTTGGAATAGACATTCATGATTCGTCTCTTCTTCAAGAACTGATGACATGTCAACGCTATTCTTAATCTGCAAGTAATGTTTAGAGTTCGTGGTTAAAATGAAGTTCAACCAATTTATAATTTTAGAAAATGTGTGGTTAAAAAGTAGGAACAAATTTTGGATTTACACGTTATTGTGTTAATATATGGTTGAAAATAAGTACGTAGAAAAAAGAGTTTTAAAAGCATGGTTGTCAAATAGGGGCTTTTATTTGATCATATGTAGAGTTGAATATTTTTGTAAGATTGCCTGATTCTTCATTCTCGATAGTTTATTTTATTGTTTATTGTTTTAAATTCAGAAAGCTGGCAAATTATTTTTTCCTACATATTTTGTGGCAATGTACAAGTACAGTGGATGTCTCTTTTCTTGCAAGGTCGAAAGATGGAATATAAGTTTCGTTATCTTGATGATCATTAGATTGCTCTTGAGAAAATAGTAGAATTGATACTAAAACCTGGTACCTGCCCCCTTGTGGTTGCGAATTAACGTTGTGAAGTGGAATTTCAATTTGTGAGTTCTCTAATTTGCTTGTTGGAGACTGTATCTCTCTTATTTTGCAAAAAGTGTTTAGTTCAGCATCTTCAAGCCTTTATGTTTCTGTTCTCTTCATTCAGGGCTCGAACTGCTCGGAAAGTAAAATTTCTTGACTCGCCCTAGTTGCATGATTTACCAAGTTGTACTGCACTATAATGTCTTTCTTTTTGCACAGACACCAATGGTGTGTTTGGTAAGAATGATTAGATATCATGAAGGAGAAGCTAAAATTTCTGTACAATCCTACGTACCAAACATGCACTAAAAAAATACGTATCGGTGCAGTACACCGGTGGCTCCCTGGATTCAAGAACTTCAGTTTCCTCATTTATATATTATGCAATAACCATAGAAAATATTTCTCCAATCCTGACCCCTTTGTCCAACCACGAGAGCCTTTACTGATGACATGACAGGAGCTCGTGTTTTCACTCCAACAGTGTACTTTTACAGATGGAATATGTCGCCTTTCCATCACAAACTGATCGTGAAAGTACTAAAAGACGCCCGAAGGAGCGTATTAGTGCCATATTATCCTTTCTCGGGGAGGTTAAGGGAGACGGAATGGGAAGCTAGCAGTCAATGTTGTGCCCAATCAAGGTGTAATTCTAGTCGAGGATCATTCGGATGTGGCCTTAGCTGATTTGGGAGATTTAACAGTTTCAAATCCGGCATTGATTAAGTTGATATGCAGGTTTCCTAACGAAGAATGAAGAACACCATAATGTCATCGACACGCCATTGTTGATAGCGCCAGTGACTAAATTCAGATGTGGGTGATTTAGCCTTGGTTTGATAGTGTCATTGCCTCCGTGATGGGTTTGGACCCAAAAATTCTTTAAGTGCAGAGGCTGCAACCATGAAAACTGGGTCGTTGGTCACAAACCCGAACCCGTGCTGGGATCGATAAACTTTTCACCCTTGATCCACCAAAGGTCAAATTTCCACACATGAGAATTGAAGATAGTTCGAGTCTAAAAGTCTGAGAAGTCAAGCCTGTCCAAAATACTACAGAATAAGCCGAGTTTCAAATCCATGTGAAAAACATGGCACAATCATAAGGAAACTTTTCTTGCACATCCCTTGATGCAATGACAGCTCGTGGAGATCTTTGGTTAAGGCCTTGGACGCAAAGCCTCATGATTACGAGCTTCATCTGACATTTTCCATAAATGCTCGTTCAAAGCTCAAAAACCCACCTCTGAAAGAGACAACAAATACTGTCTGACCAACAACTTTCCATGATAGCCCAGTTGGTGCACAGGCTCGAGCTTAGACCAGTACTCTTTCAAGAGTGAACCACACACCTCAGATGAATACGAGTAGAACACACCAGAAAAGAGGATATGCCCAAACTATACGAGTGGTCGAGAAATTCATGGAGCCCAACTAAAATGCATCCAGAAGACTTGGGTTACAATCGACTAAAACGAGAATCCTGTAACATTTCAAATTTTGTCATTTCAAGTTTTCAAAAACATTTGTTACGTAGTAAATTAAATCCAACTACATCAATGTCTTCAACCTTTACGTGTCCAATGAAAAACATGCAAAAATTTCAAACAAAATGTCCGAAAATTAAATTACACAGCACTCAATTTACTGTTCTCTTTGAATACCTATAAATCATTTTCCTTGGTCGGGGAAATTTTTCCCGAGAACTCTGAATAGTCACAAACCTCGATCATAGACACACCGGACTGCGTCATTAACAAAGTGAAGCCAATTCTAATAGCACGTGCGTGTATTGTGCATCAATGCATCTTCACAGATCATAGAGTGAGCACTATGTTTTAAATCTTCCACTGTACTGCACGCAACGTACTCCTATTGCATGTCCAGCATATAAACTTATAAACTCCTATAGTCGATCACCGTTACTTCATCTTCTGGAGCATCCAGATCATTATAGCTGCAGAAATTATTAAACCCAGGTTAAAAATTATACTTTGTTAAAATTCAAAGTTCCTAAACGTCGCCTTAAATATAAATGGAATTTATAAAGCATCCTCCAATTGGAAGATATCTTTTAGCAGAAGTTTCAAATTTAGATCCTAGAATATTGAGGTCAAAACTTCTAGCTGACTGAATCACTAGCACGCTAGTATAAAGATTCATTAATAAAACAGATTTCGATGGGTTCTTGTATAAAGATTCATTAATAAAACAGATTTCCATGGGTTCTGTCTATGACTATCCAGTGAGAGAGGAATTACTTCAATAAGCGTCTCAGGCGTATCCTACAGTTAGTCATTCCAGCCAAAAAGATTATTAGCATGCTGGAGAACAGCAGAATTTTTAACCTTACAGATCGACAAAGACTAGCCCATGCAGAGACCATTTTGTTTGGCCCTGTTTACAATGAAGCTACATATACATTAAGTTTGACATTCTTGTGAGGCGGCATTTTTTGACATTGATCTTCACAACACTTTAAAAAATCAATGGCAAATGTTGCATGCCTAAACTAAATTGAATCCCATGTACCATCATGGTCAATACTCGAGTTGCAAGTTGCCCACCAAGAATAAGGTTTGCCTGATAATTAGCCTAGCGATTAATAGTAGGAGATTTTACTGAATCAAGCTTGAGTTATCTCAAGGGTACAAGCGCTGACTGAAGATTGCTCAAGAAACTATCATTAAGCCAAAAATTGAAACTAGGGTAAATCTAAAATGCAATCAACAAAGCTCCCGTTTGTCTCCCTTTAAAACAAAACTCTTTAATTCTTACTCATTTTCAACCACGTTCACACAATAAATTATTTTGCACGTAAACCCAAAACTTCACTTTTTAACCACACAAACTCCAAAAGTCACTATTCATAAAATATTTTTTTCAAAATAATGGCCATCAAACCGGGGCAAAGTGTCATCCCCCACTCAGAAACTGATAGGTGAAAACTCAGGAAAATACAGATCCTGATGCAAAAGTTGATAATTTCTATAGTAAATTAGTAACAAAAATGTATTATGTGGAAATACAAAAGGGAAGTTGAAGTTCCAAAAACTTTATTTTGAGGTCAGGTCAAAGTAAAGTTAATCTCCAATGTAGGTGGGGAAAACCAGGCTACAACAAGTGTTCTAAGAGTAAAACAGTTTGATCTCATTCAACTTGCAGCGAATGTGCAGTAATTACTAATTATGACAGGTTGCTAAATGTTTTCAAACCGAACTTGGAGTTCTAAGCATATTTAAAATCACGCGACTGACTCTCCTATAGGCCCCAATTGTTCCGTGAGTTCACCACGTTGCCACACTACATTGGTGTATCAGTGTCAACTTACAAAAAATATAAGGAAGAACAGCTGACCTTCGCAAGCGTCGAGTATCCTGTCGGAATGATGGAGGTAAAGCAATTATTGGGGCAGGCCCACTGACCTGGGGCCCTGACCTTCCATTTCTACCACCATCAAAAGGAGGACCTCCTTGGTCCCGGAACATTCGCATTGCAACTTCAGGAGGAGCAGGAACAAAAGGTCCCAATGGACTGCAACCCATTACCAAATATTTAACCAATAAGAATAGAAAATATTATTTTTCAATACAGTCACTAACCATTGCCATTACCAAACTATCATAAAAAGTACTGAACTAACCCTGCACCAGGAACAGGCATCAGTACAGGAGGAGGTATATCTGAATGGAAAGAAGCAACAGGTATGCCTTGTCCACCAAAAGTATCAAACATTGGCTCATCGGGATTGTTTCCAGGTGCACCATCATTATTGGATGGAAAATCCCCTGACTGAGGGTTCTCGAGCCTATCAAATTGTTCGCTTCCATTAGCACGGTTGTCACGTTCTCTACGGTCAGGACCAAGCCTACGTCTCTGTGGCTTCTCCTTCTACAAAAAGGAAGGTATTCAATTAATACACAGAAATGTATTGCGATAAAAAGAATTTGTTATAAATATACCAGAATAGTTGGCTGCATGATTGGTGATCCTCCAGGTGCATTTTCATCACTGCAATAAAGAAAAGTTATGTCATTGCCCAAAATAACAAACCCCAGACAGCAAATTATATTTTAATGCAGCACTTACTTCATGTAATTCTGGAAATACAATTCTTCTCGCACTTTTGACGTCAGTTCCATGACAAGGTCTGTGTGTTTCAACTTCAAATGTTTGTGGACAAACTCAGAAGCATGGAAGAGCTTTGTACAACCTTTTGCTCCACAACCATACTTCCATCCATATTTCTCATCCCTAATTTTGCGGACATGGGGATCCAAAGCTTCAACAGCGGCAGCATCTATCTTCTCCTTCGCAGTCATTACTTCCAGAGGATCCAAGGCTTTAAGCCTCTCTTTCCAATAAGTGTCCAGTTTCTTCTCCCACTCGCTCCCGTTACCAGCCGCGTCCAAATTCTTTCCATCCACTCTAACATGCCGGAGGCCCTTGGCTTCATTTCTTTCAACCATTCCATAATAATCCACTCCATGAATGCGCCATAGATATGTAAGAAGTGTCTCCAGTAACTCAACTCCTTCCAGACCTTTGACTGCCGTTAAACCCCTAATGATAATGACTGGGCCGCTTGAACCACTGTGAGACTTATCTCTACCTGTTCTATCATTATCTACACGACATAATACATTATCCTCGATTCCTTTTTCCGAATCAAGTTTTCGAACAAGAGCCTGAGCTTGTTCAACGTCAATCTGGATTCGTCTGGGCTCAGAACTGACAGGATGGGCCTTCGGTGCAGCTGACTCATCAGCACTTCCCCGACCATGCCGTCTTCTTTTGCTTCCTGTATCTGCTTCATCGTCAGAATTTGGCTCGCTGGACTGCTCTGATTTGTTTGAAGAGGGATTCACAGCAGGACCTCTTTTACAACAGCAAAATCATTCAGATCACTATAACAAACCAAAAATAGATGCCATGGGCTGAACATGAAAACTCAAAAAATATAAGAGCCTGTCTTACAAATCCAATGTCCCACTTTGCAGATCAAGCAGAAAGTCCTTTGCCGACTTCTGTGCAAGTTCATTCCTCCTAAAAAGGCCATAGATTAGATCCTCCAATATAACAAAATATGAAAACATGAAGTATAAAAGATTTAGGCAATGGCCATTCAGCAGGCACTTCACATTGTAGGCACTATTTGCCAGAGGCCTTACGGAAAACTTCCATCTAATAAAAATCAGAGCACACCTTTCTATGACAGCAAGCAAGTTAGTTGGATGATATTTATCCTTTAGCCTGAACAGATAAAGCACTCTAATCAGAAAGGTGTTCGGCATTGAAAACGAACAGGTAAAAATGTGCTCAACAAAAAAGGAAGCTTACCATTCTTCGTCTTTATGTGCATTAAAATAAGCTCTTTTCTGAGTTGATATATACTCTGACTTGTACTCTTGATACCTGATCATGTGCGACCAATTATTTTATCATGCAAAGAAAATGAAATGGGAAACCAATGCAACACGGTACAAGAGTAAACCCAAGTAAGATATAACTCTTTTAAGACTTTCCAGTCTCACCTGCGCTCTGCCTCAGAAGGTAAAATATCATCTTCAAGCTCCTGAATGAACTGCTTATACGACATCATTCCTTCCCTGAAAATGAATCCAGAGATGTATAAATAGAGACTTGTCCATTAAACCAAGCGAATTTTCTTTTGGTTATGAGTGAATTTGGCACAAACTATTTGGCAAGCGATTAACAGTAAAACAGCAACAACGCAATGATGCTGCCACCAAGTATTTTCCTTCTGAATCTTCTTCTCTAGGCAGCAATAACTGAATAATATGTAAAGATCATGGTATGCACCTTTGAGCGCTTGTGGTGTGGAAAGCATCAGCAAAACTGCCATGACCAGAATCCCAATCTGCAGGTAAATACAATGCACAAAGTGAAGCTATAGGATAAGCTCATGACATGCCATGCCACTATTAAATTTGCCAAGTACTGAACAATAACAAGCCAGCAAACCTAGAGCAATGCCATATATATATATATATATTAGAAAATTAACCAGTTTTGGTCTCATTTAAAGGGAATAGCAAGATGAAACATCAGTAAAGCTAGTGAACCAATGCCTGCTATCATTAAATGGTACAAATTACACAGATCATATCATAAAAAAGAACAGAGGAAACCCAAGGAAAACTATTTATTGTTAAAAAAATGCAATCTCACATCTCGCTCAATTTTTTTTTTTAAATTTCTTTTTTGTCTCTCTGTGATGACCTTACATTATTTGTATAATCTTTTTTCTTTTCACATACTAAAGGACTGGCTTCGCCGAGATAGGTTTGTCTTTCATCACATTTTGAAAAGAACCTTTTTTCAGTCTTCAAGCAAAATTCAGAGTCAGTGGTTTCTTATGAAGCCACAACACCCACCACCTAAAATAAGGCAACCACCACCTTTTCTCAGACAGTCAGGCACAATCCTTCTCCACTTCTTTTTTTTTTTCCTCATGTCATTTTCTATTTCACTGAAGATCAGAGAACTATCTATATCTGAACACGTACGAACCATGACCAGAGAAATAATGGCACATCAGACAAGTAAACCGCAGGAAGCAACTCTACCTCCATTTTCAATTAGATCATTTTTGTGACAAGATCATGCGAACCCTTGTTTATGCTCAAATCAAATTGATGAGTGACCTTTGTCTATGATTGATCACATCATACTAAGAACTACAGCATATTGAAACAAGGTGAGAACAATTACCAGATGGACCACTTCTATAGCCTCCAGATGACCGGCCCATATATCGACCATGGGGCCTTTCATCGGGATAACCAGGTCTACCACCCATCTCCCGATCATACCCACCAGGATAATCATATCCGAACCTGCACCATAGAAGTTATGCATCATAGGAGACGAGTAAGAGAATAAAATGCAGTCCGCAACATTCAACAAAACTCTTTAATTGCCTCTTGGAGACCCAAAAAGATTGGGGTGGCAAGTATTAAACAAGTTAGAAGTTGGAGAGAAGGGAACCCAAAAGGACCAAAACTATACTCCACAACCAACAAACAAAGAACCCCAGTTCAATGAAATCCAAATCTTTAACAATATAAATCAAGTTATCTTGCAGGGTGCATAATCAAGTGAGATGCGTTAACACACTGATTAGATTAGCGATGTTTTCCTCAGCCAAGTGACACTACTTGGTGTGTGATGGCGCCCATAATAGCAAACACATGTTTATAAACAAACATAGCCCAAGCAATTCAACAATCACGCAGCTTAAAATCGCTAAAATTTGCATAAGAAAATATAATTCAAGCTATACACTCGGGGTAATAGGATAAGGTAAGTTAACATAGCGAGCTTCTAAGCATACGAATCACGAAGCTAACCTTCGGTCCCCAGGTCCATACCCTCCTCTAGGACTGCCCCTCCGTCCATCAGATCCATCATCTCTCCTCGATCGTTTATATGGTGGAAATGGAGGCGACCGTCTCGGAGGTGGAGAGTGTCCACCTCCTCCTCGTCGGTCCCGATAAGGCGGTGGAGGTGGACTCGGGCTCGGCCTCCCCCGCTTGTGATAATCCCTTTCGCGTGGTGGCGGAGGAGGGGGTGACCTATTGCGGTCGTAGTACTCCCGACGGGGCGGTCGGTCATAATCACTGTCATTACGTCGCTCTCTGGAGCCTCGGTCGCGGTCTCGGCGAGACGGTGGAGGCGGAGCTGGGGGCTGCGGGGAGGAGTCAGGATCTGCGTCGGCGGAGGATTTTTTGTTGTTTCGGTCCCGACGGCTGTCGAGGTTTTCTACTGGAGCATTCAGTACTTCCGCCATGGATTATCGCCGGCGGTGTTGGCGGATAGAGAAGACGAAGCCCTAGTGCGCAGTATGTGTGTGAGAGAATGTGTGTAGGGGTTTCAGTGTGAGGACGGGGGCGTCCTTAGAGAAATCATTTTAGAAAAAATCACACAAAGATCCCTACAATTATTTAATTATTACTGAAATCCTCTATCTTTTCAACAATGGGGGAATTTTGACCATTTCTTTTCAAGTTATTGCTCGACTCATCAAATTTACAATCAACCTTTGAAAACGAACACTTTAATCCTTGTCTCTTTAGTGCATGTTTTGTAAAGCTTTAATTATGATTTCAACTGATCCTAATTTTTTTTTACCGACATATTTCGAATGATTCACAACTTATAATCATTTCAATTTTAATTTAAGCAGTCCCAAACATGCTCAATATAGATATATCACACATAAAATTATTCGAATCATGAGACATACATATTGTCCAATTAATTGGGTGTTAAAATACTATGGTTTAAGTGAAATATTAAACTTTGAAAATTTTGACACATTCAAATTGTAGGGATTTGTCAAATTGTTGAGGGACGATAAAACTGAGATTAGATATGGGTCATTAAATCACATGGTCAATTTTTTGCAGCAAACCATTTCTACAACTGCAAAAATAGTAGAATTAGCTAGGGAATCTTTGTTAAAACACCTAGTCAAACAA